AGAAAGAACCAGAAGGATTTACCCTCTCAGAATTTAGTAGTAGTTTCCTTGAAAACATTACCATTCTTTCAAAATGTACAAAAAAAAATCACAATTTACTTATTCCTAGGACTTAAAATTATATATACGTACAAGTACATATACAATGAAAATTTCTGTTTTATTATGTAAAATACTTACAGTGAATGACATTTAGGACAATGAAGTTTAACAGACTGAAAGAGTTTTCTGGGTTTATATGACCTCAATTTTGCTCGGATGCGATACTGTTGAGGAGCTTTTTGTTTCAAAATGGCACACAGTGGTGTTTTCTCTAAATATTGATGATCTGTAAGTACTGCAAAGAATTTTTATATTAAATCAGAATAATCACAAGAATTATAAGTATATTCATGACATATATTCCACTGAATCAAATACATACTAGCAAATCTGATTAATTTAAGCTCTATTAACTGTCAACTCCACGAAAGCAAGAGTTATGCCTTTATTCCCTGATGTTCACTAAAGGCCCGCAAGCATAGTGCCAGGCACACAGTAGGTACTCAACAAATGTCTACCGAATAAATGCTGGATAATTTGGGCAAGAAAGAATTAAGTTATCTATTAAGTGTTTAAAAAATTATTTTTGCATAGGACTAATAATGGAGATCTCCTGGATAACTTAGGGAAAACATAAGATTTATTTAACCAAGAAATTAATATACTATTCATAAAAATATTAACAAAATACTGATCTCTTAGACATCTCTGACAGTCAACAACTTAAGTTCTAATTGGCATTTGCTACAAAAAAAGGTAATGCAAAACATTTGCTAGATATTTGTTAGGTTTCTCTCCCTGATATTTCAAATTAGTGGCTCTTTACTGAACTATCATTTACAGAATCAGATTGTTTGAGACGAGGACATTAGGGGTAATCTAACTCTCACGATGGTGGTGGAGTAGTGCAGAAGGGGAAGTTCAGGGCTGGTGGGAGGAAGGGGGAGAAAAGGAGGAGGGGGAACGAAAGGAGGAGAAATTAGAGATATACTGGAAAAAGAAAAGTCAAACATTTATACCCCCTTAATATTTTGAAATAAAAAAAGCATTAGGGGCAATTACCTGGGAAATGGGTAAAATGGGTCTCCTCAGCTAACTGTGGACAGAGGGCCTGGGATTGCAGTGGTCAGTTTACACTGGGGTAAGTATAAAATTGCTGCTGACCCTTAGCTTAGGATAACAGACTTGCTTGCTATACATTATAGGGTAACACTTTTCTGTGTTTTAGAAAATGTAACTGACGGGGTGCTGATATACTATACCTCATGAACCTTGACGGCCAGGAGGACAATTCCTTTCTGTACCTAGCTTTAATCCGACTAAACTCTCGTTGAATTAATCTTTCTTCAAGGAGCAAGTGGCCAAGGGTTTACAGTGGAACATTTTTCTTCTTTTTTTCTTTTTTTGTAAAAAGATCATAGGCAAACCTCATCAATTTTGTGTAAAATGCTACATAGAGATAGCAGCAATTGCTTCAAACTCACATTTTAAGATAAAGTTAACTTCTCATTTAAAAATACTTTCGAACTTAAAAAGAAATTGCAAAAATAATACAAACATCTTCTATGCAGCTTTCACCAAGATTCACCAATTGTTAACATTTTGGCACATTTACTGTTGTCTCGTGTCTGTCTTTATCTCTGTCTTCCTCCATATATATGTTATTGAATCACTGGAGAATAATTTCCACATATTATACCCTCTTCCCCTAAATACTCCAGTGCATATTTCACATGAAGACATTTTACTGACATAAGTACAGTGCAATTTTCAACATCAGAACATTTAACAAATCAATAGACAGTACTCAAGTTTCTCCAATTGTTCCCAATATGTTCTTGTAAGCATTTTATTTTTCGGTCCAGGATCCAATCCTGGATCTGCATTACACCTATTTTTCATGTCTCTTTGGACTTCTTTTATGTGGAATGGCTCCTCGGCTTTTCTTTGTCTTTTATGACATTGATATATTGGAGGAGTACAGGCCATTTATTTTGTAGTATAAACATCAACTTGGGTGTGTCTGATTTTTCCTCACGTTCAGGTTCAGGTTATGCATTTTTGGCAGGAATGCTACATAAGTGGTATTGAGTGCTTCTCATCACATCAAGAGTCACGTAACTTCAGTGTTTGCATTACTGTGGATATAACTTGGTTCAGCTGGTTAAGGTGGTGTCCAATAGGTTTCTCTGCTATAAACCTACTATTTTCCCCTTACAATGAATAAGAAGGTGCTTGGGAAAAGGTAAATATCCCATTCTTCATCAAACATTTAGGATTTTGATAGTTTACAATCCACTGATTCCCAACTAAATCAACAATTACTATCATGGTTGCAAAATGGTGATTTTTTTTTTTCTAATTTCACCACTCTTATTATTAGCTGCCATTCTACTTTAAGGAAGAGATTTCCATTCAACCCCATTTATTTATTTTTCTTTTGTTTATTATCAACATGGAGTCATGTACTCCTACTTTATTCAATGACTTCTAATCCATCACTAATATTTATTTTGATGCTCAAACTGTCCCAGGTTTGACATGGTTTACCATATGCCATTTGTCATGCTTCATCACTAACTGAGAACTTGCTTACTTTCTGGCACTACGAAATGTTCCAGACTAATTCTGTAATTTCCCTGGCCTAGTCCCGGAATCCGCTATTTCTCCAAGGAACACTGATTCCTTTTAGGGACATACACCATTTATAATCCAAGATCTGTGCACTAGGTGTGCTTATTGCAACTAGAGTGCCATTGCCTCTGTGTCCTTTCACTGACAGAAATTGGGTATATAAGAATACACATTCAATCAACACAAATACACATAGGCACCTATATATGCATGATTATGTATGTGTGTGAATTTATATATGTATTATACATACACACATCTGTATATATTTCCATATGTATAAAACCATAACTACATTATGGCACCTCCAATACCACAAGCTTTTATCTAGCCTTCTCCCATTCCACATTTGTATCTCCTCTCTCCAATATATTTGTATTTTTACAATAATACATTATTTAATACACATGTGCTTAAAATATTTTTCTAAAAAAAAATTTTTTTTTTATCTTAACTAACCGAAGGAGGTTATGTAATAGATATATTATCATTGCTAACATTAAATTAAAGTTTGGGGTATATTGTAAGGAGATCCTTTATGGCAGGGGTTCCCAACCTATGGTATATATTTCAATATATATTTCATTATATATTACAATAGAAATAAAGTACACAATGAATATAATGCACTTGAATCATCCCAAAACCACCCCCCACCTCCTGGTCCATGGAAAAATTATCTTCCATGAAAATGGTCCCTGGTGCCAAAAAGGTTGGGGACCACTGCTTTATGGTGCACTATTAAATGCATCACGTGAATTGATTAAAATTAATGTCATAGAGTATATTTTATATTCTAAAACTAAAAATGTACTGTTAAATAATAAAATGATATCTTTTATAAACCTTAGAGATACGTGTCTTAAAATATTTCAATGTGAAATTATGTATCTTCATGGGTTCCATTTTATTCTAGTGCAGGAGGAGGAAAGATAGTTAAATATGGACGTATTTTTGCCTACATGGCTATCTGTTCTCACTCTTAGATAGGAATGTATTAGTTGGTAAGTGTAAGGACAAACTTTATTATGCTCATTACTGTGCCTATGTCTTAAAAATGATATACAGTCTTACTTGTAGCAGATAGCTGTTGACATCTTTCTACCTCATATAATGATACTGATCCAGAGCCTACAAGAAGAAGAAGAAAAAAGAATTATAACTTTTAAGTCCACTAAAAATTAAATATGGAACTGAAAACTGTAAAGCATTGCTGACAAAAACTGAAGAAAATATAAATAAATGGTGAGATGTCATATTCATGATTTAGAAGGCTCACTATTGGTAAGATATCAATTCTCCCCAGATTATCCTACAGATTCAGCACAAGTCTAATCAAAATAGCAGAAGCTTTATTGTAGAAATTGACAAGCAGATTCTATCACTTATGTGGAAATGCAAAAAATCTAGAATGCTGAATAAAATCTTGAAAAAGAAGCACAAAGTTGAAGGATTTACATTACATGACTTCAAGACTTACTATAAAGCTACAGTAATCAAAACAATATAGCACTGGCATAAGAACTGACAAGTAAACAGAATTAAATAGAGAGCCTAAAAATGAACCCACATTTACATGGTCTTTTGATTTTTTACAAAGGCAGCAAAGCAGTTCAAAGGGAAAGCAAAACTCTTCAACAAATGGCACTGTAACAACTGGAAATCTGTATGGGGAAAAATGCATACTTCACACTATACTAGCGAGCACTGAATGGAAAGCCCTGAAATAAGCCCACATTTATACTCACTGGAGTTTTTCTTTTTTTTCTTATTTTAAGAGATAAGGTCTTGCTCTGTCATCCAGGCTGGAGTGCAGTGGCATGATCATACCTCATTGCAGCCTGGAACTCCTGAGCTCAAGTGATCCTCCCAGCTCAGTCCTGAGAAGCTGGGACTACAGGTGCTGCCACCAAACCTGGCTAATTTTTTTATAAATTTTTTGTAGAGATGGGGTCTTGCCATGTTGCCCAGGCTAGTCTCAAACTCCTGGCCTCAAGTGATCCTCCTGCCTTGGCCTCCCAAAGTGCTGGGATTACAGGTGTGAGCCACTGTGCCCAGTCCCTCACTTGATTTTTGACAAAGACACCAAAGCCATCTAACAAGAAACAGATGGTGCCACAACTAGAAATTCCTACTGAAAAGAAAAATGTCCACCTCAAACCATACAACTAAGTATTAAAAAACAAACTACTGATATATGCAACGATATGGATAAATCTCAAAAACACAGTATGTACAGAAGAGTACAAATATATAATTCCACTATTTTGAAGTTCTAGAACAGGCAAATCTAGAGGGATTTGGGTTACAACATGTTTATGCATTAGTCAAAACTCATGGAATGATATATTGTCCATTTCCTTGCATATTCCTCAAAAATAAAAAAAGAATCCTAAATTACTACTGAACTCTAGTTAACTATGTTCATACTGAAGTGTTCAGGAAATGTACCGGTGCCTCTGCAACTTACTTTGAAATGCATCAAAAAATAACGTGAATTGAGATCAAAGGAGGGACAGAGAGACACATGTGCCAGCACACAAGGTGTTTACCGGAGAATCTAAGTCGTGCGTAGTATGTGAATGTGCATTGTATTATAGTTCTAACTTCTCCGTAAGTTTGCAAAGTTTTATTATGCTGGAAAAATACATCATGACAGAAATTAAAGGAGAGGTGGATAAAAGAGCACACTTATGAAATTTAATAGAATGATCTGATGAACATCATAAAATAGGAGTTTACTTTAACAAGAAAGCAAAAGTAGTAATCATAGCAATAAGGTTACAAAATGCTTCCTAAAGTAAGAATTTAAGACTTGAAAAATCTACATTTTATAATTATTTTAACTTACATTTTATTATATATACTGGTATATTATGTTTTAATAATTTATTTTATAGGGCATCATATAGAAATATATGCACTACTAGTTCTTTTCCCTTAACATTGCTAACCAATGGCATAAGAATCCAAGGCAAAAAGGACTTGAATGGACATCTCAAGCTGGCATCGTACAATTTCAATGAATCTGATTTATTAATTAATATCTGCCATTCCAACATGAAATGTAAACAATGGCAGAAACCTTAAAAATTAGTCAAATAAGAAAATACGTGTAAAACATATACATGGTCTCCCATAAACTGATAAGAAAAAGACAAAGAATCCAACAGAAGATCAGACAACGGGTAAGAGCAGACAATCCAAAGAAGACGGACTAAAAAGAGCTGATAAATACATAATAAGATTTCCAGGTGTCCAAATAGTCAGAAAAATTAAGACACTAATTTTTAACTGCCAAATTGTCAAAAAAAAATTACACACAGTGTTAACCTCTAATACTGTGAAGGTGTAAGGGAAGTACCTTCTCCTTATTCGGATATAAATTCCTATGATCTTTTGGTAAATAATCTGGCAACATCTATTAAAATATGTGTCTACCCTTAGATATATCAACCCCACTTTTAGGAGTTTGTATTTCTGAGAAACAAAAGCATGGAAGTATAATGTTCAAGTTTGTTTATTAAAGCATTATGTATAAGAGCAAAAAACTGGCAACAGCCTGACTATCAAATGGAGAATGGCTGAATAAATAGTGTTATACCCATATGACCAAATATTATGCCACTATTAAAAGAATGTGTTGAGCCATATGAAGTAGCCCAGAAAGATGTCTATGATATATTGTTAAAGAAAGTGGCTGGGTACAGGGCTCACATCTGTAATCCTAGCACTTTGGGAGGCAGAGGTGAGAGGACTGTCTGAGGCCAGGAGTTCAAGACCAGCCTGAGCAACATAGCGAGGTCATGTATCTACAAAAAATAGAAAAATTGGCCAGGCATGGTGAAGTGTGCCTATAACCCCAGCTACTCGGGAGAGGCTGAGGCCAGGAGGATTGCTTGAGCCCAGGAGCTGAGGCTGCAGTGGGCTATGAGGACGCCACTGTACTCTAGCCCCAGCAACCAGAGCAAGGCCCTGTCTCAAAAAAAAAAAAAAAAAGCAACTATTATAGTATGATTTCATTTCATTTTGGTAAAAATTTAATAAAGAGGGAAAAGTCGTATTTGTTTATGTATAAGTATATATGTTTGTATAAACACAAAGGTATTGAAGGACTCACATACTAAACTGTTAACCTTACCTCAGAGAGTAGGGCATAAAAGGCACAGGAAAAGCTATTCAACTTGATATTATGACGTGCATTACTTTGTAATTTAAAAATAATGAAAGAATCATTTTAAAAGGAGAAATGAGATTGTAGAAAGTATAATTACAAATTATACTGTCTTCAAATGATCCTCAATTGAACTAAACTGGCCTCCTAATGGTAGTTCAAGTAATCACACATAAGACTACAATACTATCATCAAAATGTCAGCAAGTGGAGTTTTAAGATAGAATGAGGAAATAAATTTAAAATATATATAAAATACCAAATAGCCTGCATATGAATTAGTCTTGCTTTGCTGTCAGTTAATAGCGAAGTAACTGTGGGAAAATTATATGATGCCCAAATCTAAGTTTCCCTTTTGTAAAAGGTAGAAAATAATGCATATCATAGGAGTGCTATCAGGGTTAAATAATAAAGCATACAGGTACCTGTCAAGAAATACACGTTAATTTTCATGCTTATCATTACTTGTATAGAATGACATGGTTCTTTGGATCATACTAGGGTAGGAGTTAGATTGCTAAAAAAAAAAACGTGAGATAGAAATATGATCTAGATTTAGTTTCCAGAATGTACAAGTAGGTAAGTGGTAAAGAAAAAAATATTACACATTCAAAGTTTTAAAGTTCAGATTTGAATAGTCTCCTATTCTGGTGACAATAATATAAACAAACACTCCCCCTGTTTGTTAACATCTTATAATTAGATATTTCATTAATTCAATAAAGACTGGGAATTATGTATATATCTAAGATGTATATGAGCAAAAAATATTTGGTTTATTTGAAATAAAGCTGCACAAACAACCTTTGTTCTTTTTGGAAACTGACAAGCAAAAGAGTTGCTTAGAGAATTGATACAGATTTTCTTATGAATACACACACACATATATTTCATAATCAAGTAATCATTACTACTCCAATTTGAAAACGTAACTATATAATTTAGGAAGGGAGCACGTTTACCTTTTTGTGTAAGACATACATCAAGATTTAGGATATCTCTTTACAATATATATGAATTAAAAAAAAAAGACAAAGAAAGAGAGAAGACATTAAAAAAGAGAATTATGATGATAAAATTATTTTATGTAGCAGGAACTAAACTGTCAATGTCAAAAACTGTCCTTACTTGGTACGCTGTCCTCAGGTTCTGATTGACAGATACCATCTGAAAGCTGATTGGCTGTCAAATCTGCAGATTCTAAAGCCCTAGAATTGAAAGAATACAATTTCAAACTGTAGGAAACAAAGTCAATATAGTAAGTTTAGTTCTATCTACAAAATCCAGAAATTCACTGAAATTGTATATAAAATTTTGTGTGTATATGCTTTCTTCTCTAAAGGGTCTATAGCTTTCATCAGATTATCTGAGAGTTCTAAGGTCCCTCAAATTAAAAACCTGAGTTTAGAAAGAAACAAGTGGAAGAGTGGGATGATGAAATACTACAAACAAAAATAAGTTGGGAATTAATGGATGACATTGAGTCAGAACAATTTCACTCTAGATTCAAGAAGAGAAATGCAGTGTTGCTATATATTACAATATGTAATGTAAATCAGTGAAATTGATACAAAATTAATAAAACAAAAGTGAACTTAATTGGTTCCAAGGTTATATTGATTTCAATAAATTAAAATTTAGACAGTAATTATTTCACTTCACTATACTAAACAGTATATCTTCTCTTTGAAGATATGTAGATTTTTTTATTTCTAGAATACTGATCAAAATGTTTCTGCACACAGAACCTAGGAATATTTCAAGAAAAAGAGAACTGAAAATATAGCAGGATTTAAGATAGTATTTACTTTCTGTGAATATCTAAAAGTTTTAAAATAGTTTTTAAAAATATAACACACCAAAACACTTTTGTTATCTATTTAACCAGAGGCACTTTAGGAAGATATTTTTTCATGGAAGGATTAAGTATTTTTGGAATCCTACACATATATCAAATTTTCAAAAGTTTGGCTAAGTCCAGTTTCCACTCAGTGTTGTTGCTGTACTTGGAGAGTGTGGCAAATGGTAGAAGAGGAGCATGAGTGAGTGATAAGTGTACAAGGTAGATTCCAACTGTTGGAAAACTTTGATTATAACCCTGGCTCTGCTGCTATATATTAACACTTATTTGAACCTACAATCATTTGATATGCTTCATTTGGCTCATTTATTAAAAAATATAGAGAATGGCACAAAAGGCTATGAGGATCAAATAAGAAACCTTTCAGACTCCCAGGAACAACATTGTCCTAGAAATCAGCTTAATAAACACTTACATTTTCGAAATAGGTATATAAAATGCTTACTTTTTCAGCTGATCCACATCAGAGTTATTTTCTGGCAAGACCCTGATTCCCCGACCATAACTGGTACCTCCATGAAGATGAAACTCCAGACTTAATGTTGTCTGGTTCTCTGAATTCACTGACTGAAGTTTGGTATGGAGGCTATAGATTCTAAGAAAGCTTCCAACCTAAAAATAGAATATTTACTATTTAGAAAGTGAAGAAAAAAAATTAAATGATTTCTGATATTTGAAATTTTAACAACTACTATGGGGCAATGACCAATAACAACCACCAGGGAAACTGGCCAATTAGAAAATATACTGAGTATACTATACCAGTGTGACTGAATTATCAGACATGGACACATGACAAAACCAGAACATATGCACACGTACGTGCATGTATGCACACAGGCACAAGCACAAATATATTCAATTGGAAGACATATTTCCATTTCATAGATATTAAAATGTTAAAAAATACTGTGTCTTAGCAGCAATAAAATATAGTAGAGTTAGGAAACCCATTACCTAAATGAAATTCAAGCTCTCTATCTGCTTAAAGTTTCTGCAAATAACTTGCATTAACTAGCTTAAGATTAATTAAATATGATCACTAACATACTGTCATTATAAGAATACCAGAAAAAAATTTTAAACGTGCTACCACATTAAAATAATAAATATTGCCCTATCCCAAAAGTTCTATGGAAAGAAAACTTTTGTAATAAAGCATTTGTGCCTGCACCACCATAGTAAGTTTACACTCTAAGTTCAAATATAGGATTAAATCAATTAGAATTTTTTAAAAATTGTTTTATTTCAGCATATTACGGAGGTACAAATGTTTAGGTTACATACACTGCCTTTGCCCCATCCAAGTCAGAGCTTCAAGTGTGTCCATCCCCCAGACGATGTGCACTGCACCCATTAGGTGTGAATATACCTATTCCCTCCTCCTCACTCTCACCTGCCCGACACCCAATGAATGTGTTACTACTATATGTGCACATAAGTGTTAGAGTTTTGAACTAAATGTTCTATAGTTAATGTGAGATGTTTTGCTAAACTGAATCTAAAAATGTCTTTAATTAGAGTATCTGAGATTTTCTTTTAATAAAAATTCCAAATGAAAGATGCAGAATACTATTCAAAATATTGATGCCTACCTAAAGGAAGAAGCTATTTAACCTAAATTATGTTTATATTTATGAAAAAAGATTTATAAACAAAAGGAGTTACTAGAAAATTTTATTTTTTTTTGCATAAAAACAGCATTCCTGACTGCTGGGTGACTGTGGGGCTACCATTTTCTTTTTTTTCCTGCAAGTTCAGGATTGAATAACAGCGGTGATACAGTATGTAACAGAAAAGCAATACAGGTTGATTTTACCTTATCCAAAGTGCTTGGGACCAGACAGAAGTGTTTCAGATTTTGGAATATTTGCATATACATAACGAGGTATCTTGAGGGTGGGACACAAGTCTAAACATGAAATTCATTTTTATGTTTCATATACACCTTATAAACATAGCCTGAAGGTAATTTTATACAATATTTTAAATAATTTTGTGCATGAAACAAAGTTTATGTAACGAAGGTGTCACTGTTTCATGTCAGCATTCAAAAAATTTTGGATTTTGGAGTACTTCGGATCTTGAACTTCAGGATTAGGGATGCTCAATCTGCATAACAGAGAATATAAAAAAAGGATGAGCAATAAATCAACTTTCCACTTCTGGTTGTGGTAGCTTCTCTTCATTGTATTTCTCCTCATTACTCTCTAGCTCTGATGGAGGGGAGATAGGAGGAAATAAAGTAAAGGGAAAACATCTACATTCCCAGATACCACTCCTTAATTCCCAAGTGTCTTTTTTTGCATCTGATCATGGGTTTTATGAGGAGATAAAGTACCCAGCCTTTTCTTCTCTGACTTCTTTCACTTACATCTACCCCATGGCAGAAGAATAGGACAAAGAAAGTCAGGGAAGGAAAACACAAAAAGAAAAAAAAAAAAGAAGATAAAAATCATTTTCCTCATGGTCTTCAAAGTGAGCAACTGGAAGAAAATACAAAAATTTCTATTTTTAGCTCATTCTTTTTGAATGTTTATTATTTTGTGATTCTTTTTTAATATGTGTGTGTGTATATATAAATACACTAGTACAGCACATATATATAATCTACAAAGAATTTAAAAGAAGGCCTAAACACATGGAGAAAGATACCATATTCACAGACAAAAAGCTTATTTTTCAATATTATAAAAATGAGAATTTCCTTCAAATCAATCTTTAAACTCAATGCAATTTCAATCAAAATCCCCAGTGTCTTTCATGGAATCTGAAAAGTTAATAGAAATAGTTTATAGAAATAGTCATTTTTGAAGAACAGGAAGGGGGGTTTGCCATATCAAAAAGTACATAAAGTAAAAGCATAATATGGGTGTACATACGTATATGTTGAGACAGAGAGGTACTTGGGGAGCAAAAACAAACAAACACATAAACAAAACAAAACAAAATGACAAAACCTGAGATCAGGCAGGGGCATAAGGAAGTTTCAATGTGTAGTTTTATTTCCTAAAAATTAAAAGTGCCTGAAATAAATGTGGCAAAGCACTTAGAAATAAGTTTAAATGGTGAGCCTTGGTTTTTATGTTACTCTCTTCTCTATTATTTTTTAATAGAACAAAATTTAAAAGTCAAGATAGACTTTATTTGCATAAATAGACTATAAAGCTAACAAATTGTTGTTATGAGAAATACCATCTGGAGGCAGCATTGTACTTTTTTTAAGCTTGACTAAATATACTACGAAATGTACCAAATGCTCTATTATAAAAGACAAATATTAGTCTTGTCAATACTGTGATAAGATTCCAAAGATAGAAGTGAAAATATAGTTTAAAAACTGTTATAAAACTCTATTTTAATACATAAACTAAAAAAAAATCAAAGCAAACATAGTTAGTAAGAAATCACTATCCTTTTAGAAATAATCAAAACATTCCTCATAAACTGTCAAGAATTTCTCATTATGTTTAGCATTTTTAATTTCCTACACATGTCTCAAATAGCCAGTCAAATCACAGTTGTTGGGCCACTGAAGGCCAAAACATAATCATGACTTTATGTTTGAGAATTATTTTAAAACTTATTCTGGATAAGAGTGAAGACTTTAAAAAATATGTCTTTAGTTTCCAGACAAAGGTTTGAAATGTCAGTTTATGTACATGAGCCTATATTATGTTTAAGGAATAACATATAACTTACTTAAAAAGCAAGATTCAGAAAAGAGTTAAGAGGAATTTAGGCTGTAAAATGTATTGTTTATAGAAATTGATTATATTATACTTCACAATTGCATTAACTGTCCACATTTTTTTCCCTGCTCCTATACAACAAAAGTCTTTTGAATTGCTTCCATGTATTTTGATACAAAAATGCAATTTTAAACAGCTGTCTTGAAGTGCTGAGAATTCATTTGTATCAATGTCCTGTGACTGAAGATTTCCCAAATTAATGAGAAATGTTATAAGAGCTGTCAGAAAACAAATGTGATGTCAATGTACATTAAATAAAAGTATAAAGTTATATTACAAGGAGAAAAAATCCTTTTCATTTTTATATTGCATTGTAGACAAATAATATAATTCTATGATATCTTTAGAGAGAAATGAAGTGCCATACACTTTCTTAATTATGTGTGCTCATATCACCCTCTAGTGGGCAAAATAAAGCAGACAATAAAAACGGAGAAGAAAAAAAATCTACACTCACTGATCGATTCATGTAGCAGCAGATATTATTTACTTCATCCTTACTATATGGAAAGCACTCTGCTAGATGCTATTTAGGACTTGGACAAGAAAAGCACGACAAGTGGGGAAGCAGAAAAGACCTATGGAAACAGCATAGGTAATTAAGAGAAGGTAATTAAATGGTTAAAGTAGGTATGCAGAGTGTGGCACTGAGGTGAATCTAAAATGTAAATTCAATTCATTCATGAAAGAACTCCCTCTGTCTAAAAAAAAAATCTTCAGAACTGGATTAATTATTATTTTTACTTTTGAAATAAAGTAATCAATGTAGACAGTATCTTTCAGAGAAAAAAAATCAAAAGTGTAACCTCAGTTTTTTCTGATACGTCATATACACAATATGCACACACATACATACACTTAAGTGCAGTAACGTCTTCCTGGGCCCTAAACCCTAAATTTAAATTAATTTATTTATTTGATTTGGGTGAACTTATTTGTAGCATAATGTGGAATTAGAAATATTTTCTCCTCCATGGACAATGATTTGCAAAAGGGAAACTGGGCAATGGAATTCAAAGCTTCATCACTTTTACTATTTTCTTTTAACATTCTATAAGTAAGTAGGCTGGAAGATATCTGCAATAAAAAAGATCATTTCCTTTTAAGGATTGAAAAGATTAGCTCTGGAAACAGACATTCTGAATTCAAACACTGGCTTCATTCAACTTGTTATGGGATATTGCACAATTCATTTAACTTCTGTGTGCTTCACTGCTCATTTGTAAAATGAGATAAGGATAGCAACTATCTCATTGGATAGTACCAAATATAATGAAGTGCCTAGCAAATGTTACTTATATTATTTACTGTATTATTATTTAAGATACTATTCTTTACTACAAAGGATACTATCAAATAAAAGATATAATAAAATGAAGAAAAAATATTCCCTATAATTTGTGTTGTTAATAATTAAGCACTGCCATATCTAAACTGTGTATCTTTATCTAAGAAGCTACCTTAAAAACAGTATGCAAATTCTATAAAACTATACAGTACACAAAAACACATAATTTATAATATATATTTCAGGTGTCTTAACAATTTCTAAAACCAAGGAGTGAAAAGTTACCATTTAGATTCTTTTTTTCTTTTTTTTGGAGATAGAGTCTTGCTCCGTCACCCCAGCTAGAGTACAATGGCATCATCATAGCTCACTGCAACCTCAAACTCCTGGGCTCAAGTGATCCTCCTCCTTCAGCCTCCCAAGTAGCTGGGACTACAGGAACACACCACCATGCCCAGCTAATTTTTTTTTTTTTTTCTATTTCTAGTAGAGACCAGGCTCTCATTCTTGCTCAGGCTGGTCTTGAACTCCTGGCCTCAAGTGATCCCTCCTGCCTTGGCTTCCCAGAATGCTAGGATTAAGGGTGTGAGCTACCGTGCCTGGCCATAATCTAGATTCTATCAAACCAATTTACCAAGCTTAACACTTAACAGTAAGTTATATAAGATTTACATACCCTTAGTCATTTTAAAGCAGTATACCTCACATGACAATTTTTTTCCTGACTATATTCCCAGTAAAATTGTGTACATATTTAATATATTCAGGAAAGAGTCTTTTAAGAATCATTCAAATCCATTATAATTTATCTTTCAATAATTTATTTTCAGCATATTTTATAAGTTAAAAATTGATAAAAGTAAATTTGAAGTTAATTTCTACACTCCAAATATAACATATAAGTGTAATCATTTATCACCAAAATTTATATGACCCCAAATCACCAAAATTCATAAAAATATAAAGTAACAAACATTTTTGGTACTCAACATTACCTTCAGAGATTTTGCCACTTGAACATGGTTATCGTAGACTAAAATGTCTATTGTCAGATTCTGTAGCCGATGGATGTGACTTAAATCACCTTCAAGCACAAGGTCTTGTATTAAGACTCTCCAAGATGGGAATGGTGTCCTGGTGCCATCCCACACCTGCCGTAAGAGGACAGAGCAAAGTTTAATGATCCCTTGGGAAAACTGCTGATGCTAAAGAGAGTTTTGTTTTCTGGTAAGATTACTTAAAAGTAATTAAATATATGCCTCTAAATATCAGCAATATTTTAAATATGACATTATTTTCTGACTGCAAAAGAACTATATATTAATACATATGAACAATAGGTAATGTGGAAAAGGTAGAATGGAAAGAAAAAAAAAGTCACACTGCCATAAACCTAGACAAAATACTAACATATTGATGACTTCATCTTTTTTCTTCTGTGTATTTATAACATATATGCCTTTAAAAAAAAAAAACTAGCTTTATATTCTGCTTTTCTCTTTTTAGCTTATTTTTGAGCATTTTATCAGGCAATGACCGGAGATATACTCAAAGACAAAACTCAGAGCCTTAAATGTGTCTATTAACAAACAGAACAAACATAGCATATTAGAATAAGCTTTCAACTCGAGTAATTAAAAAAATAACAGAACTATAGGAAGTTGGAGGGAAGTCTTTTAATAAGGTATTTGGTTTTTGGGTAGGTAACTTTAACATTATCCAGAAATCTGGAAGATAATTGAAATGATGTACCTCTTTCCCTTGTCCCTATCTTCTCAGTCTCTCCTACCAAAAGTAAGTGAACACCGGAAACTAGTTTCTTAAATATCTTTTCAGACAAGTACTTTAGTACATATGCAAATACATATTGTTTTCCCCCTTTTTGTATACACACAATAGCATACTATAAATACCCATCTGCAGTTGCTTTTTTCATTTAACTCTTACAGATTTTTCCACATTACTATGTAAAAAGCTCCCTAATTTAGTTTCCCAGGGCTGCGGTAAC